GTGGATTAATTCCTTTAATAAAGAAATGCATTTCTCAGGGATTACATAACTGGATTTGAGTTACTAATTTCACAATATTCTTTAATAGACAAATGTGATAAGACCATTTTACTAAAAGGAATATTACCTAACTCACTCAGCAAGCGTTACCTGCTTCCCAGGAGGCGGCCAGATACTGTTTTGTTGTCCAGGATGACAATTCCCGGGCCATTTCTGGACTATTCTTCTGAAATCAGGGTCCTATTTCTAGTCATCAGCTGCCTAAAATTACTTTGTTTCTCCTTTCCCTTCAGGATTCTCAGCAGAAGACATGCATTAGACGAGGAGAATGCAAAGCTTGCATCTTTTTAATTGGCCTCGAAGGCAGAATGGAGACATTCTCATTAGCATGCTTATCTCTTGTGCTTCTGTGCTTTGGCACAGGGAATGTGACTGTCCCGGGTCCGTGCTGCTCATTAAAACTCCAGGTAATAATCGCATATAGGACATACAGTGGTATTGGCGGACAATCTTGCTTCATTTCCATTAGTGAATGTAACTTTATCATAAATGATGCTTTACAGAACTAAACAATGATATTTCCTAAAGTGTGTCTAACTATTTACATCTTCATACGTAAGATTTAGAGCCACCAGAAGAGCTTTATCTAGAACTCCTTTTTATTAATAAAATTAGCATTCATTTCTTCTGTGCCTTTATTGATAAAAGGCACTGTTGACCTTATAAGAATTGCATTTAGTGTACATAAAGGTATTTGAGCAAGAAATGTTAGTCAAATCTTTTAATTTTTTTTCCCTATTCTTTAGCGGTTTTTGTTTTGTGGTTTTGTTTTTTTTTGACAGTTGGCAGATTTTTCTCAGGTTGAATAACAGGTTTGAAACAAAGCTATGTGGGAATGTACAAGCCACTTTACTGCACAGACTCAAGTGTATTTTAAAAAAATCCAAAGATAAACTAAAAAATCCAAACCTTTGAACTTTGTTCTTAAAATGTCTATGACACACTGAAATATCTTAATTAGTCAACTCCCCCCGTACAAATATTCTAGGAAAGCTTAGGTAAACTTGAAAGTATTCAAAAGCGAAGGCAGAAAGATATTTTTAGCAGACGTTACTGCTAAAATTAGCCAATTTCTTGTAGAATGGATTTCTTGTAGAATGTTTAGGCTCTTTTATGCTAGTACTCAAGTATTTCAGTGTCTGAGGAATGTTTAAATACTTGCTATAAATAATCTAAGGAAAAATAATTACTCAGATATTTTGCTCAAGTCAATTCATAAAGGAGTCTCACACCACACACCACCCCCCACCACTGCCAGACAAAGTTTGCAGATAATTTTCTATGGGTTCAACTTACGCGGGTCTTGAGAGGTTTTCCTACAAAGAGAAGGTCTGGGTTTTATTGGAGTCTATTTGAATGCTACTGCGTGAAGAATACATTGTCTAAGATTGGGGGATTTGTGAACTAGACACCTAAAGTAGGAGGAACAGACGTTAATTTAGTATCTTCAGGCAAAAATACCCCAGTTCATGTACAACTGAAGTTGGGAGCAAAGAGGCATAGAAGTCACACCTCAAAAAATAAAATAAAATAAAATAAAATCCCTGTGTAGTTGTGAGACCTGTTTGTGGGGCATCCAGGTAAAACAAGACAATAGCAGAAAAGATGCTGGTGTTTAAGCCATGAATAACCTCAAGACATTTGTTACGTGTGTTTCCAACAAAATGTTACTTTTACGGATTTTGATATACTCATTTCTCTAGGGGAAAAAAATCAATGTGCTGTTTTATAAGATAGGAAGAGACTCTGGATATAGATTTCCTGTACCATTGTATAAGGTTTTCTTTCCATGTCATTATGGTTTCAATTTTAAAAGTTATTCTTGGTGCTCTCAGATCACTTTCCTGGTGTTACCATCATAACCAGTGGTATACATTTATTTATTTATTTATTCCCAGAGGAATGCCAATGGATTTCTCTCAGATGAAAAACAAAGGACTTGTTACAAACTACTACGGAGCTTCTTTCTGTTGAAGTATTATGGACAAGTGTATCCTATTTGATAGCATAATATCAATCTATAACTTTAATGAGAAAACAACTTTTTTGATATCCTAAGTTAAAAGAAAACAAAACCCACAGGTAATAGAATCATCTTTGTTCACAGGAAGTCACTGGGATTTATTTATTCATGGCCTGATACAATTTCGAAAAAGTGCTCTTTTGAACAAGAAATGACTCATATACATCGAGGAGCTCTTGAATGTCACCCAGGATTTAGTTACCACTGTGAGATTAAAAATGCATTAAAATGCTCGGCAGCTCTCAGGCTGACGAGGGAGAAAGAAAGGAGAGAGGAACCATGAAATAAAGTAGGTGATGTTGAAAGAAAGGGGGTCACAATCCATGTAAATGAGAAAGAAAGAGGCAAGTCAATTCCATAGACAAGCTATGGAATAGGATGGGCGGTCTCCTTGGACTTAACTATTACACCCAAGTGGGCGAATCCATTTTGAAAGTTACTCTAAACGGGTCATTACCGGCAAAATGACGGTTGAGAAGAAATGGACACGAGTTGGCAAAATCCTGAATCCTGAGAAATGACCTCAAAAGCCAGATAAGGACATTTTGAAATAGCACACATAATAAGTAAGATAGCACTGGGGCGGGGGGTGGGGGGGTGCTATATTCCGTAGTCATTTGGTACAAGTAGCATCCATAATGGAACCTAATCAGAATTATAAAGTGATCAGCTTGAAAGTTTAATTTAAACATAAATTTAAAGTGGTACCTTTAAGGATCATGGCCACAAGTATAATCTCCCTGGATAGTGTAGGAGACAGGACAAAAGGTCCCGAATAAGAACTAATCATTATTCACACCTTAAAGTTCTTTACAAGACATTCAGAATATCTTGGTAATAGATATTACTCCTTACTCATGCAGAAACCTCTGTGCATCTCTAAGTGCAGAGATGGATCTGCACTCCATCAACCTTAGGTTCTTTTCTCAATACTACCTCCACATCCTAAGTAGGCACTACAAAGGCACACACACACACACACACACACCTGTGTGCACACACCTTTTCTGTGTCTGTGTTAAAGAACATGCTCCATTACTCATTTTTTTTTTTTTTTGACGCCGATGTTCTAACGCCCCCCAAATGGTTAGGATTATAATTTGCATTCAACACCTACTTCCTTCTCACTGAATCAGATCCAAAGTGTGCATTTAAATTTATCAAACATGAGTATAATAGCTACTGCAGATGAACACCATTTTACAGGAACCTAATAAATTTCACAAAGCAAAGCAATCATCTCATTAAAAAAAAAAACTTTGCCGCAAAATTCATTTAAATACATTATTTAGTCTATCTAAAATAGTTCTCCTAATTCCAAGTTTCAACAGATTAAGCACGTTATTACCAACTGTTGACCTTTTTGGAATCGCGGTTTTTCATTAGAATTAAATGAGCAGTATACAAGGCTAAAATATTTTAAAATATTCTAATTCACCATTCGCAATTCTGAGAAAGCCTGTTTTAATCAAAATGTGTTATTCTGGCCTTTTTGACCTACAAGGAATGCATTTCTCAGAAAAATGCAGCCTGATAGCATAATCCATTTCACTTAATGGTGTCGTGACTACTCTTCTTTCTACTTAAGGCACTTTTTACGGGAGTTAAAAGTTGTGGCAGCTTCTGTTATGTTTAACTGGGCTTCGTTATTCTTTGAGTTGTGTAATTAAAATGATCACATAAAATAAAAACCTGGTGGTGCCGGTCAATCAAAAGAGTTTTGTGCTTTTAAAGATCAAGAATCAAATGTCAAGAACTCATCCTAGGAGGGCCCCAACCACAACTGAGGTCCCAGTGACCGACATCAATAAATAAAAAGGCAATTAACTAACAAGGCATGGAGGACAATTTCCGGGAGGCTGGCTGGCTGGCCACACATTCTGAATTCTTTACAATCCAAGGTTCAGTGTCATATCGGTAGCCATAGGCCATACTTCTGAGAAAAAGAAACCCAATACACAAAACGGTCAATGGCATCCGACTAAAACTAACTGATAGTCGGTCATTTTGCCAACAGCATGTTCTTTTTTTAAAAGATAACAAAACCTAATCAAAGTGATTTGTGATTGCAATCATCCACAGGATTATGTGTCAGAACAATGTTTCCAACATGAAATGCATCTGCCTGAAGATGCAATGGACCTTCCATTGTTGGCTTTTTGCATTCAGCTCTGTTTGTTATGCGTTCATTCCATCCTCTAGTCAGGAAGAAGGAGTAGTTAAAACCACCACTTCCCCCCACCCCCCTAACGACTGCAGCTGTTTCTACTGAGTAATAAAAGTTGCTGGAGAAATCATATATACACATACATGTAAAATTAGGGAAACAAGCTGCTTTATTGCCCCGATTTAAAATAAGCTCAATCAGTAGAAAAGAAAAATACTATAATATACAGCTTGATGAGCAGCTGAAGACAAGAATAGACTCAGACACGATTTTAGAATTCAGGCTATATCTCACTCAACGATGTTTGAATGAGATGAAGGACATGTCTCCTTTAAATTTTTTTCTAAACCACTGAATGAACAAGTGGAATTTATGGGGGAATGTAACCCAAAATAGACAGATTCGTAAAACTTCCTTTAGTATTAGCGTGAGGCTTTAAAGGCAGAAAAAGGAAGGTCTCACTGCTGTTTCATTAATAAAGTTGTAACATTTTGTAAATCTTCATCAATAAGAATTCTAAATTAAAAGAATAACTTCCATAAGTCAGTGAGAAAATTTAAGTTATGCAGAACAGATTGTTAATCCTCTTTCACCAGGGCAAACAAATATAGCAACCGTAGCGCAAGGTAAGAATTAAAATATTGATTCACAAAATTACAAAGATTAAATCAAGAGGCATGGTAATCGATATCCCAAAGGTCTAGGGGAAAGGACATTGAAAGTATTGGCAAAATAAGAAAAAAGTCTTACTTTTGACGGTCGCTGTCCGGGTACAGTTGTAGAGAATGGCCAACTCGCCAAACACTTTTCCTGGACCCATGGTGCAGAGCTTCACGCCTTCTTTTGTAACTTCAACCTTACCATCTAGAACAAAGAGACAACGTCATTTTACTTCTCTTCCACGCTTCATTTCATGTGTTGTATTTTCAACATGCAACGAGGAGTATGAGGCTCTTCTTTATAAAACTGCAAAGCAATTACCAATGGAGACCAAGCCTTCACCCAGATGCAATGCAAGAAATGCAATAAATCATGTCAGTTAAGAAACCCCACCCTTCTTTAAATTAATCACCGATAAGAGGCACCTGGGTGGCTCAGTTGATTGGGCATCTGCCTTCGGCTCAGGTCAGGATCCCAGGGTCCTGGGATCAAGCCCCACATTGGGCTCCCTTGCTCAGCTGGGAGCCTGCTTCTCCCTCTCCCTGTCCCTCCCCCTGCTTATGCTCTCTCCCTGTCAAATAAATGAAAAAAATCTTTAAAAAAAATTAATCACTGATAAGATCTAAGGTACGACTGAAAGAAAGAAAAAGACAGAATAAGACAAAAAGGTAAACATGCATTTTTCCAAATACGAATTAGAAAACTATTGTAATTCCAATTTTAATGTCATTTTGAATCAGAGCAAAAACCTGGGTAAGTGGGTGCATTTTCTACAGCACACTTCATACGTGGGAATTGTCATTTGAGTAAAGCACATCTATTACAGGAAGGGAGATTACTTTGACCCTTGGGAACCGTTTAAATGCAGCTCATGTTATCTTTTATTTTTAAGCATCTTATCTGACTTGGGCAAGACTGTTTTATCTGCTTCCCAGTCCGGCAACACTGGCCGTAAGGACAAATAAACTAGGAGGGTTGTGGGGGAAACAGAGACATTAGGTCCATTTATGTTCCACAAAGGACTTGGAAAATATAACGATAAGGAAGGAAAGAGCCAAGGATACATGGACCCTGGTTATACATTGGTGCCTGCAAGAAAGGCAAATGCTATCCATGAGGAAATGAAAGAAATAGATTTTTTTAAAAGGTACAGCTACATGCACCAGAAATTCTCTCACCTCACACAATGGGGGGTGGGGTTGGAAATAAATGGGCAACACAATCCATTCTAGACTAATAGCCCCCCCGCCCCCGCCACTTCAATTATTCTTCCGCGTTACTTATCCACAGTCTAAGGAAGAGCCTTCTGCTTGGCATTAGCTAGTGAATGAATGAAAGGAGCTAACGCTACCAAATTTTCTCCAAACTTCAGACCTACGTGCATCAACTTCATAATTGTTCCTGTATCTACGTGTTTCCCGTAATGTTTAACTTTTTAGAGTATGGGCTTTAAACATACTCCTGCTTTAAAAAACAAACAAAATCAACCTAGTCTCAACATTTGTAAAAATCACAGGGTCGATGTGCTAATTTCTTCAAACACCCGTTGAGATAAAATGTTCAATATCAAAAAACTTCTTGGGAAAGTGTAATCCATGTACCAGTCATGTGAGGTCAACCCTTCAGAGAACATTGTTCTTTTGACCCTGAAAACCATTTCATGTAAATGCTATCAGTGGAGAGAGAATTCTTCAGTAATTAGGATAAAATTTCACATAAGGTCTATTCACTACTCTTGAACTCTGTGTGTACCTCCTCTGTGTATAAAGAAATTATTCAGGAATGAACAAATCCAACAATTCTAAAAGTTTGGAGATACTTTCTTAGGCAGGTCTGGCCACTCAAAATTTAGTCTAGCTTTGTATGCCTTGTTTCTTGACTGCAGAAAATAAAACTCCTGTGATAGGTACACCAATACCAGCCCAGTAAATCCGTATTTTCATAAGCCACAGATGCCCCCCACCCCCACCCATGCTATGCCCCAACCCCTCCCTTTCCATGGTAAGCCTGCCCCTTAACAAATTTCCTCTGCTCCTTGAGAATGAGAAACAGGCTCAGAACGTAATATGGTTAGGAGATTTATAAGTCATTAGAAGTCAGACCAGGAGTTAAATTCTGGTTCTCTTATCTGTTGCTTATGAGCCTTGTGACCTTGGGCAAGTTATTAGGTTCTTCATGCCTTGGTTTCTTCATTAACAAAATAGATGAAAGAAAAGCACCTATCTCATCAGGTGGTTGATAAAATGAAATGATTAAAACGGGCAATGCTGAGCACAAGGCCCGGCATATAGCAAATGGTCAATAAATACGAGCTCTTATTACTGGGGTTATTTTTATTATATGTCTTATCTAGAACTGAAACACAGTATTCCAAAATCTATTACAGAAACCGATCAAGTCTACATAGGTTAGTAGGTTTGTGGTTTTTTGTTTGTTTGTTTGTTTTTTAAATGGAGAAAGTATTTGTTTCAGATTCTCTCTTTGCGGGGGGGGGGGGGGGGGGGGGGGAGTGCATTTGAGAACTTTTGGGTTCAAATCAACATTAAACCCAAAGAAGACAATGGCATTTCGTGAAGTCACCGTGATCTACGTGGCAGAATGCATCCACTTTGTGCTCTTCCTCACTTGGCCGTGTGCAGCCAACATTCCACAAGCTTTGCTTTAGCAAGTACCCTCTTATGCTGGAGACGCCCATGAAGGACAAAGTAACAACGTTCCAGGGCATTACAACATTTTCTGGAAGTAAGGCTCTAGCTTCAATGATACTAAAGGAACTAAGAGCAAAATGAGCAACGCCTAAATAACTTCCATACATAACTGATTTTGTACAAGTCCGCTTTGCTCTCTCCTTGGGTCTCAGAGGCGGAAGTCTTCAGTGGAAAGGGACGCAGAGGAGCAAGCCCACTACTAAGAATCCTGCTGGACAGCTTGACAATAAGGCTTCTCAACTAATAAAAGATGAGAAACACAGGACTCTCATTTTCAGCTCAGTGGTTTCTTAAAGGACATCTGGGTACCTGCCACATCTAAGCCAATTAATAAAATGCATATTCCCCACTCTGGGAAATTGTAACCATTCCTGCACTGCAATGACACCGCTGTACTTGGTTCTGGTGCTCCTTACTTCTCTGAAAAATCATGCTCATAGAGCACTCATTGATTTTAACTGATAGTGAATCCTGAAACTGATCACGTTTCCTTTGAGATATGACTTCTAGAAAGCTCACAGCCAGAATTATGTAAGACTCTGGGGTTGGCAATGTGTGCATAAATGCATTTCTGGTTGCAACTCATTTTCCTGATCTTATTTTATATTTGCCTAATTTGTTCATCTCTAACTCATTTTTTTAAAGACGGGTATGAATAATTATATATTCATATATGATATAAAGATAGGTATAAATAAGTATATATGTAATAGACATGCATATATATGAACAATCAGTGTTGGTAACAGAAGGTTATAATCCATATTCATTAGAAGAGCAAAAAAAAAATTTAAGAAGAGATTTACTGGTACAGATTGTATTTGAGAAATAGAAATGTGGATGTAAAACATCTTTTCTAGGTTAAGTTAAATCCTACAGGTTCAGTATATTCACAGTAGCCAAGTAAGGAAGGACTTTGATCACATATGATAAACGAGAGTTGTCTAGAAGTGTTTTTTTTTTTTTTAATGAATGGAAATATCTAAATGATAAACAGAAACACAGTGTAAAATGTTACTCTGAGTCCCAGTGTGATCACTTTTCCTTCCCTCTACCTGCTGTGTGGGTGAATAAGTAATTCAGGGAGGCAGGATCCCTTGGGTGTTAAAAAGTTAGGTACACACACGGCATTAGTTCTTTCAAAGACATTTGGGAACGTTCTGATTTCCAAGAGCCCAGGAATGTAAGCGATTGAAGTGAAGTGTGAATTTGGTTAAGCTCATTCACTACACCACACAGCAGCCTTGAAGCAAAACTAGAAGTGATCATACACTTACAAACGATTTCCAAGTATGGAGTGTGTGGTCCACTTATGAAACCTAAGAATAAGACCATCACAAGCTTGCTGCATACACCTGTCCTTTCAAGTGTTAGGGCCATCGTGAAGCCACTCCCCTAGTCTTAGACTGCCCCCCCCACCCTTTTTTCCACTCTATGGTTACCTTTGAGATTTGGTTTAAATTGACTTCACTTGCATAGAAGGTAGGCAGGCCTATGTGTGTTTATTTTGGTGGTGAGGGGAACAATGTGGGATAAGACAAATAGGGAAAAAGTCATTTAGGCTCAAAATATAGCAGGCTTTTGCCAGAGGCTTCTACCAACTCAGAAAGAACCCAGCTTGGAGGTTTTTATATAATTATAATTGGCTGTTAACTTCAGGAGTGCATGTTGATGAATTTACTTCAGGTCAGCATTGATTAATGTAATTTCTATTTCTCTTAAAGAAATTGCAGAGATTCATTAGCATTTATTCATGACTGTTCAATACTTTAATTTTCAAATATGTTAGATTCCAAATCAAAGATATTTTTTTCCTTCGAGAGTAGCAAAAAGACATTTTCAGAACACCCTAGTAAAGTTCTAGACTTTTCCATTATTTTCCCTAACTGAACTCGACAGTGACTAGAGGCTATTAGAACTGTGATTTGGGGAAGTAATGACGATCTGAAATGTGGTCCATCTATACAACCTGCTTTTGTTTTTTTTAATTCACTTTTGCTTTTAAAAAACATGATATTACATTGGCATTATTTTTACTATGCACTCTCCCCACCATAAAAAAGAAATATCCAAATCATTTTTATTTGAATTTTGCTGAACCGTTATTGTTTACAGGAGAGGTGTTGGAATCGCTGCTTATATAAGATTTCAGGGTGACCGTGTCATTCAGCTCTTATCACCCCTGCAATTAGTATGACTAATTGAAAGTTTTATCATAGTACCCTGAATGCATTGTTTTTAAGGATTTTATTTATTTATTTGAGAGCGAGTGCAGGAGTTGGGGGGAGGGGCAGAGGGAGAGGGAGAAGCAGGCTTCCCGCTGAGCAGGGAGCCCGATGTGGGGCTCGATCCCAGGGCCCTGAGATGGTGCCCTGAGCCGAAGGCAGTCGCTTAACCAACTGAGCCACCCAGGCGCCCCCCCTTCCCCCGTATGTATTTTTTGTTCTACTTCAGGTACCAGATGTCCACTGATGATGGAACCAGCTGAGCCCTAAG